AATTCTGACTTTAATCTCAGAATTCTGAGCCATGCAGTGGGGGAAAAAATCCCAATTTTCCAAAAATAAGAGCATTACAATAATCGATTAATCATATTTAATTGAACAGTTTAGGCCCTAGAAACAGAACTAAAGAGAAAACTAGAAATTTTGGCTATGCAACCAAATTCAAATCCATCGTTATACGAAGGCCAGATTGTTCGGCCGACCATGTCATAGCAAGCCACCATGGTCTGTTCGAATTCAAAGACAAATGCAATTTCCATCCGGTTGGAAGGACAGGTCCGCTGTATCCTCCGTAGCCCTGGGTATCCCATGATTCATTGGGAGTCTAAGCAAACTGGCTGCTCCGTGCTCATAGGAAAAAGGGTAATGGTTTCGAACAGTGGTAAGTATTGTAAGTACTGCGTAATACAAGTATGTGAATAGTTTTGTCTGAAATTAATGAAAATAGTCGTTTTAAATGGTTATAGAAAAAAAAGAAAATTAAAAACAATCGACTAGACTTTGTTTCCAAGTTTGAAGACATCTTGCTTCCCATCCATGAAGCTTTTTCAATTTTTTTGAAACCTGGTTTCGTGGTACCGTCTGAGCTGTAGCTGCATGCAGCGACTGAAAAAAATTTCACACAGTGTATGCCCGGCTTTACAGAGGAATCTTATGAGGGAAGATAATTCATTTCTAATTGCATTTATTAGTCAAGAAGTGCAGCTGTGTTTTGAAAGTGAAAACGCATTTCTACAAAAATGAAAAACACATTTGCTTACCTTAAAAGTCTTAAAAGTATTCACGTTAACTGACATTTATAAAGGTAAACACATGCATATGCTTTTATTGTAAGTAATCTTACAATAAAAGCCTTAAAAAGGTTTAGATGTATTTTCCAGTAGCTTGCAGAAGTATTTACTTTGCTTACATGGTTGTACTTGATCTGTAAACATCAATGTGACGTATTACGATTTCATCTGATTGAGCAACAGCAAGTGAACCAGAAGCATTGGACCCTGGAAATCATTTTCTTTAACTGGAAAAATTGTGTTATTTCTCAAACTGTTGCAGTTTGAAGGAACATTTCCATCCAGTTACACAATCCCCATTAGTCACTGGAAGCCAAATATGAAAAAGAGCTGCTAGATGCAGGACTGACTTACATAATCCGGAGATATGGATAGTTTTTTTTTTTTTATCAGTCTTGTCTGTAGTGATCTCAGAGTTGCCTTTAGAGAGGGGAGGGGGTTTCATGTGACACTGCATTTTGCTGATGGGTCCTCAATGCTGCAACCAACGAACTCGTGGGAGGAAATGACACAATTCCTGTTGGAGCTGAGTTGGGGGTGTGAATGGGAGCCTTCTTAATGCTAACCAGATGTCGGTTTTACAAACAGACACATTTAAAGGACAGAAAACAATGCCGTTTATTGGAGATGACTGAGCGCGAGCAGACAGACGCACGCGGGCGGGCGGCTCTTTTATCCTCAATCGAAATGCCGCGCGGCCGCCTCCCTCCTCGTCATCACCCCGGTGGTCTCAGCTACATAATGTGACATCATGGAGTCTACTTACCGCGGAGCTGCGGCTCGCTGTGGCCAATGAAGGGCTTGAATGTCTTCAGGATGTCAGCGTTTCTCACTCTGCCGGAGTTCCCACCGGCAGAGTAGAAATAATCCAGCAGCGACTCTTCGCTCACATCACCCATCCTGGAGAGCCCGGCACTTTCTATCCCCTTTTCCGCGGCTATATTGGCCTTTTTTCAGAGCTTTTTCCACTCTGCCATACCGTTAGGATAATTAGCTGTACTACATGTCTAAACTTTACTCCACCCAGAGGAGCTGCGCCTCCTTCTGTTTAACCCTTTAAAGACACCTCCCTCCCATGGATGACTCCCCCACCGTATGACGGAATTATAATGAACTCCCCAAAATGTGTCTGAACAATTATGCGGAAGAGGAGTATGGCTACTGTAAAGAAAAAATGTAAAAGATTAACTGATTTTTTATCTTTTTTGAGGTTGATATAATAAAAAGTCAGAATTGTGACTTTAATCTCAGAATTCTGAGATTAAAGTCA